GTTCATGCTCTGTCTCTCTCTGTTCCAAAAATAAATAAACGTTGAATAAAACAACAAATTTTTTTTCTTTCACAAAACATTTTTAAGCTTGCTTGCTTATTTATTTATTTATTTATTTATTTATTTATTTATTTATTTTGAGAGAGAGGGAGGAATCAGGGGAGAGGCAGAGAGGGGGAGAGAGTCCCAAGCCAGCTCTGCACTGTGAGCACAGAGTCCGATGCAGGACTTGAACTCAGGAACCGTGAGATCTGTGACCTGAGCTGAAAACCAAGAGCCTGATGCTCAGCTGACTGAACCACCCAGGTGCCCCAACAAATCTTTTTTTTTTCCCCCGAATCAAATGGGTATACCAAGTCGATTTATGAAACAGATCAAAGCATTCTTTTACTTACATCAATTCATTTTAGAAATTTGAATATTTAGCATTTACTTAGAAAGCGAGAACAGTGAGATGTTTCGATCAACACAAAAAGTTGAAAACAGGTTAAAAAAGATTGTGGGCTATTTTAGTCTGACCTTCCAGTTATTTCTCCATTTGAAAAAAAAAATGTGTGTGTATATGTACATACACACACACACACACACACACACATATTTAAGTAGGCTCCATGCCCAGTGTGGGGCTCAAACTCATGATCCCAAGATTAGGTCACGTGTTCTACCGATTGAGCCAGCCAGGCCCCCTAAAATACGTAGTTTTTAATAGCTTAATTTGCAGGGGCACCTGAGTGGCTCAGTTGGTTAAGTGGTTGACTCTTGGTTTTGGCTCAGGTCACGATATCCTAGTTCGTGAGTTCGAGCCCCACATCGGGCTCTGTGCTCACGGCTCGGAGCCTGCTTCGGATGCTCTATCTCCTCTCTGCCCCTCCCCCACAGTCGTGCTCGCTTGCGCTCTCTCAAAAATAAATGTTAAAAAGAAAATAGCTTAATTTGCAATCCAAGGATATTTTTCAGTTGAACTGATGCATCGGTTTGAAAACAGAGTAAGAGGGGCCAATCCTGATCATAGCTGTAAACTTCAGACAAATCCCAAGTGCTATAACTATTGTACAGTAATTCCTCACTCAGCGTGCCATTATGACACATCACGCAGCCGTTCACGTATGACTGCGGCATGGGAGGGACAGCCGTGCCTGGCACTGCTTGAACGTGACCCCTGTGTGCTCTGTGGTGTGCTTGTGCATGCCAGTTGATGTGGACGGGCTGGTGTAAGCCTGACTCGGCCCCTGTAATTGGTACCAGGCCCAAGAAATGCCGGTGTTGCCACAGAGATGGCCCCAGTTCCTCGGGGTCTTCAAAAGTCGGTTGCCAGGTGGAGGCCTCTGGTAACATTACAGATTGATTACATAACACATTTGGGTGTGGGCTTGCTTTAAAATGCAATTTTTATCATCAGCTCTTAACTGTGGGGACAGTGGAGAGGATATGGAGGAGGGAGGAGCGGGGAGACTAGAATGAAGAGATAAGAAATCAGAACTGCTCTTGGCTCTTGATGGTCTCTGGGTACGTAATGCCAGCGCAGATTCAGAAATGGTCTAGGAATGCTCGCCTTCCCGCAGATGGGCAAGTGAAGGAGGGCGGACCCAAACTCATTGCTGCAAACGATGCCCCTACATGAGTGGGAGAAGAGGGAGTGGGCTTGGAGCCCCAGAGGGAAGAGGGAGACGGTGGGCTCTGGGGCTGACAGCACCTCCCCTCTCATTCTCCACCTGAGCGGTTCTGCCCAGCGGTTGCCTGTCTGTGGGTCCGTGGCTGGGATGTGCTGATTGGGGGTTGCTGCTCAGTGTGTTTCCTAGCTGCCTTCGCCTTAGCCTCTGGTGGCTGCTCATTCGAGACGGACAGTTGTCAGAACGTGTGGCTTCTGAAGGGCCTTCAACAACAATCCCCAGGAATCCATGCAGCAGTTTGATTGCAGTTGTTGTGAATCAAAATATGGCTAATTGTTTAGACTTGGGGCAAATGTATAGTTGACAGGAAGTCTGTAGGGAGCCCTGACCTTCTCCCTGGGTCTCTTCTGCCTATTCAGTCAGGGCCAGGGGCTGGTAATTTGCTTTCGATATACTTCCAGAATTAAATTTTGAGTCATTTGTTCCCTTTGCCTTAGCATAAATAATTGAAAATCGATTGCACGGTAGCATGGATATGTAGAATACACTCAGAATTTGGGTTTTGAGCCAGCTGGGAAATTCCCTTCAGTTTTTCTGAATCCCATGTATTTGAAGAATGTTGAAACAAGATGTTTGAGGAAGTAAATTACTATTGCTGTTGAATGTGACCTGGAGGGAACTGAGAAAAGTAGAACTGGAGACACGGTTACTGATTTTTTTTTTTTTTTGTTTCCTAAATACCTTTGTTAGGCCTCTGAAGAAGCCTCCCTCAGGGCATTGGAAAGTCTGATGACAGAATTCTTCCACGATTGTACAACCAACGAAAGAAAACGTGAGATAGGTAAGTGAAGTGCTGAGCGTCGCCAAGAGTCCTTTCAAACACACAAAGTGTGTGGTGAGGAGGAAGGAGTCGGTTGCCTGGGCCGGTCAGGCCTGCTTGTTTCCCCTTAAATTCTTGGCTTTTTTTGGCTCTTGTTTTGCTGGTCGGTGGCGTCTGTAAATCAAGGGCTGTGGTTCACGGAGCCCTCCATAATCCACGGTGATGGGTTCTCTCTGGCCAAGTGTGGAAAACCCCTCCTGCCGCTCTCTTCTTAATTTCAGCAAAGTTGAACTTCTGTCACAGAAGCCCGTGACTGTTACCTTAAGAAAACAGCTCCTAAAAGTGTCAGAACGACATGGTTTTGGTGTGTAGAAGTCCAATCCAAACCTTATCTGGTGCCTAGAGGTCCTTTATGTAACTGGTATTCCCTTGGGGGCTGCTGCTACATCTTTATCTCTATGATTGTCTCCCCTATTCTGCAAGTTGTGATGAATAAAGGCTTCAAACAACAGAGATGAAGATATAATTACCTTGGGTCTCCTGGGAACCTCAGCACCTTCTAGAATTTCCTTTTGAATTTCATATTCATTTACATGAGCATTATCCATTGAAGCACACTGTGAACTGTCATATCTCTGCCTCAGAGACATGCTGCACTGTGGTCCTAGAGCACTCTTTTCCCCCCTCTGAGTCCTCACTTAACCCCTGAACTTGAAAATGGAAAATGTTTTCTTCTCTGTCCCAACCTAAAAGCTTTTCCCTCGGATGTTTGACTGCTGGGTTATAACTTTACATTCATTGTTTTCACCTCCAGGGAGGCCTTTTTGCGTGTCTCTAGGACTCTGGAGGCCCATTTCTCTGCCCCACTTGGCTTCTCTAAGTCATGTTGGCCAGTTGGGTGTTGTGGCTGATTTCTGCCTTTGGTCCAAGGTTTGACTAAGGTCTGGATTTCCAGGTAGCCAGTAGACCTTTTTCTCTTGCTTTCTTTGAGCATCATATCAGCTTCTGGTAGTTGAACTTCTTACTTTTACTTTTTTTTTCTTATTTATCCTTGAGAGTACTACTACTTATTTATCCTTGAGAGACAGAGTGTGAGTGGGGGAGGGACAGAGAGAGAAAGAGAGGGAGACACAGAATCCAGGCTCCAGGCTCTGAGCTGTCAGCACAGAGCCCGACGTGGGGCTCGAACTCACGAACCGTGAGATCATGACCTGAGCCACAGTTGGACACATAACCAACTAAGCCTCCCAGGCGCCTCTTTACTCTTCTACTTTTAAACTTGGTGCTCTCTTTTGGGCCTGCCCCATATATGCCTGTCTTTTCTGACGGAGTGTCTATAGAGAACCAGAGCTTTCATAAACAAGGGATCGTTGTTAGTTTTATGCTGCCAAAGTACCTTATACTTAACAGTAAAAATACAACTGGTGATTTTTACCAAAGCAGGTGAAGGATCTTTCTCTTACATCAATCTGCTATATCCCAACACTAATATCTTTGAAGTCCTATTTTTAGCTTATAATTGAAGTGGTTTTGGTCTTTCTCTCAATTAAAACAATTTTTCTTTAAAAGTATTTATTTATTTTGAGGAGGGGAGGGGCAGAGAGAGAGGGAGAAAGAGAATCCCAAACAGGCTCCACGCTGTCAGCACGGAACCCGATGCAGGGCTCGGACTCACACACTGTGAGATCATGACCCGAGCTGAAGTCAAGGGTTGGACCCTTAACTGACTGAGCCACCCAGGCACCCTGGGTTTTCTCTCAGTTTTTGGTTTGCCAAGCAAATATTGCTCACCTTCAGTGTTCATGAATTTAAAGTGGAACCTCTTAACTAAACTTGTATTCTAATCTGATTTTAAAATAGCTTTAAATAACCAGATACTACAAATGTCTAATTTAAACACAGGCTAAGGAGAGTCTCCAGGGGTTTGGTTCTATATGGTGGGTGTGTCTCAGTTGGCTTCTCTTTGTACCTAGTCTTTGGAGCTTTGTTTGAGTGTGTGGGCTGGAACCGCGTGCTTCCTTTTCCATAGTTTAGGATAAACTAACTTTCCTGGCGAGGTGGCGGAAAGGAGGCGCGTTATTAGTACTCTAGAGGTACAGCTGTTAGCAGGGAACCTCAAGGGACAGTCTGGTCATTTTCACAGCGGAGGAAGCCGAAGCATCAAAGAGGAGCAGTGATCCCTCGGAATCAGACTCCATGAGTGAGCAGCACAGTCTCCAGCCCGGCGTTCCTCATTTCTAGCCAGAGCTCGTTCTTTCCAGTTTGACTCCTGCTCTGGGATTCATACAAGCTTATACTTAACCATAAGGCTGCTACAGTGAGGTCTTCTGCTAGCAGAGCAGTGATCTTAGGGTCCTTCCTGCTTTTCCAGGGGCTTCCTAGAATCTCTGGGGGTTGTTTGCCTTTTATTCATCCTTTTACTCTTCAAAATTTTTCTATTTTTAAACTTCCTTTTTAACCTTTTAAATTTATGTTTATTTTGATTTAAAATTTTTTTACCCCCTTTGTTTTGTATTTCATGCCCTGTGTAGCAGGTCAAGATGACTAAGGGGCAGTGTGTTCGGAAACGTGGTGACAGACTTTCAGTGCTTGCTGTCCTGGGCTTCTGGCTGGCGGTACCAGGAGCCTCAGGAGGGGGAAAACCGTTTCTAACTGATTTGATGTGGACAGGGCTGCTCGTGGTAACTCCCGTGATTGCTGCTCTTACTTACCGTTTTTCATGTGGTAGTTTAGAATGAAACCACACGAATACCAAATACAGAGAATTAGCCGTCTGTAATCCTCTTGCATTTTTTTCCTGTCCCGTGTTTATAAGGTTAGCCTTAATGTTTTCTTGTCCCGCTTCTCTAGCCATCATTTTGTGTGTGTTTGTGTGAACACTGTTGAGTCCTGAGGAAATACATATAGCCTGTAACCCAGAGGAGACAGGTTAACAATTAGCCTTCGTTTATAAGGTAAAATGATACTTGGATCACTTTAGGCTAAGTAAGAACTTTATCATTGAAAGTTTCTCTGCCTCAATTAGTGCCCTTAGGCTATTGGATTGTAGATGGCTGAACACATTGTCCATGTTCATTGTCACCTCAGAGTCAGAAAAATGTTGTACAGTCTGTCCTTTCTATCTCGAAGACGCAGCTGGATTTTGCTATTGTTTTGGGGGCCATTCAATTATATGGAGAGATGTGTGTTTAAAAACCTGATGAGACAGCCCAGCCATGTGTTAATTTCATGTCTTTTTCATAGCCTTCTTTGTTGCTATTTAACTTTTTCAGAGGAGCTTCTTGATAACTTTGCCCAGCAAATAGGAGCCTGGAGACTCTGCCTGTACTTCCTCTCCAGCACCAGGAATGACTATGTCATGATGTACAGTTTAACGGTGTTTGAGGTGAGTTGTCAGATGCCTTTATACTGTTCTGAAAAGTCTTTTGTAGTCACGACGCCAGGTCATTGGCACTAGACTTTAGCTTTGAGGTGCAGCTGACAGGGAAACAGCAGTAGCTCAGCTCAGGGACTTCCTCCCACACGCCGCCCCCGTCAAGATGTCTGGCTTCTGGGGCACCTTTCCATCTTCAGCCCAGAAAGGTGAGGCAGGGCTGGTTTGGTAACGTGTAACTTTGCCTTTCACGTCATCATTTAAAAGAGAAAGGTAATGAAAGAGAAACAGTTTGGGAGGAGAGGTGATACCCATAATGCTGTTACCCAGCCAGAAACATTTTCATTTATTTTAACTCTTCCAAATTTTGTCTTCCTGTGTATATCTTTTCTTTTTAACCTAATTATAATCATGTTGCTCATGCCTCTTTGTATTCTGCCCCCCGCCCCCCCATTTAGCCTTTATATTATATTCCTATATAAGTGGTTATACCATTATTCACCAAGTGGTCCTCCTGTTGTTGAACATTATAGTTGTTTTCTTCATTTTTTGGTGGCCATCAGAGACAGTGGTGTAATAGAAAGTTTTTGCACATGCAGCCTTTTGTTTCTGTGAAGTTATTTAGTGGATCTTTTGAGGATGGGATTGTTGTATTATAGGGTTTGAATATTCCTAGTACTCTTATTGCTAAATTGCCCTAAACCTTTGTTTAAAAGCAGGGTCTTTTGTTTGAGATGATGTAGCTAACCGTTGGATGAAAGCCGGTTATTGTTGTGTACAGATGGTTCACTTAGAAGATGTGTATTTGTTTTTCAGAATCTGATCAATAAAATGTGGCTTGGGGTCCCATCTCAAGATAAGATGGAAATCCGTAGCTGCCTGCCCAAACTCCTTTTGGCTCACCACAAAACCTTACCTTACTTTATCCGGAACAAGCTCTGCAAAGTTATTGTTGATATTGGCCGTCAAGATTGGCCCATGTTCTACCATGACTTTTTTACGAACATTTTACAGGTAAGGATATACCTAAGGAAACTTCATCTCATAAACTGTTTGTTTGTAGAAGTGATTATTTCCTTGTCTTGAGGGGGAGTTTTCAGATTAGCATTTTGGAACTGCGGTAGTGAGGTCATCGTAGGACAAATTATCCACTTCGTGTTCTTGAGACATGTACCTTTGTGCTTGTTGAACGGGGACGGGGCCGGGGGGGTGGATAACCCAGTCGCTTTGTTAACCTCATGGGAAATTTTGTTCAGCAAAGATCTGAAAGCCTGTTAGGTCCTGTGCCAGGTGTTGGGGTGCATGGATGAGGCCTTTGACGGTTACGCTTTAGTAAGAAGATAGCTGTGCAAACGATCGTCCGACACTGTGGAAGTGTGTGTGGCGTGCAACGGTGGCATACAGCCAGCAGACCCCAGAAGCTGAGGTGTCCTCAGTGTTGTTGGGTGAAGCGGTGGGGTGCTGGAGTAAGAGACCAGATTGATGGGCTGGGGCCAGGCCGGGAAGGGCCCTGCTCTTGCAGGGGGCTTCAATTTGTAACCTATAGTCCTTCCGTGGGAGCTAATGAAAAGTGTGTAGAAGGGGGGAAGACAGGGCCACATTTTCGTGTTGGAGCCACAACTCTGGAACAGTATGGGGTGTGGATCGAAGAGGGGCGAGGCTGGACCCCTGACGCTGCTGTTGGAAAGATAGGAGCTACCGTGAGGACCTGGCCCCCACCCCCCCACCCACTCTGGCGGGTGGAGGCGGGGCACTTAGGAGACCCAGTCAGGAGGCTGTGGTTAGTGACTGGGTGGTGGAGGTGAGGCAAGGGCGGGATCTAGAATGCCTTCCCGGTTTCTGGCTCAGATAGCAGATTCTCCAGGCCAGGGGTGAAGGAAGAGGAAATGAGTTGGGGTGGAAGATGGGGAATTCAATTTGGCAGAAAAGGCACTTAGTATTTGTGCCCTCCTTCTTTACCTGAGACATTGGGAGCTGTGGATCTGGGGCTCGGGAAGGTGGTCGGGGCGCAGGTCAGGATTTGGAAGTCATCAGGGCAAAAGGTGGGACCCAAAAGCCAAGCGGGAGATGCCGTTGTTCATTTGAATCCTATGCGGAAGTTGGAAACACTTTCATATTATTGAGGTAGTCACGGGTATACAGGAAATGGGCATTAGGTATCGTTTATAGAATAAAATTCTTTGAAAGTTAGTGTCTCGGTGACTGTAGGCTCAGGATTTTCTAACATTCTGTCTGCTCTTGTTACAAAGAATTAGAAACTAATTCTTTCTTAGCAACTAAGAAAAAATAGAGCATCCTTATTGCTTCTCTCAGACTGCCTCAAAGTGATACAGAAATTCTTCATTCAGTATTGTTTTGTGTAGTGACTCCATTTATCTAAAGGTTTATTGGGTTGATACTTCAAAGGAGATTCATGCATTTACTCAGTAAGTTGTTTGTTGAATACCAGCCGTGCGCTAACTAAACGTGTGGGGAGATGGTAATGAAACAAAACAATGGCTCTGCCTTCTGGAGCTTATAATCTCAAGGAGGAGACATCCGTAAACAATAAACAAATAGACTTATAGGTGCTTCTAAGTGTTATGAAGAAAATTAAATCCAAGGCAAGGAGAAAGAGAGCGTTGGGGGTGTTGTCTAGACGGCGTGATGAGAAGGCTTTTTTTGAGGAGCAGCCATTCGAGTAGAAGCCTGAGTGGAAGTGATGGAGTGAGCCATGTGGGTATCTAGGGGAACAGTGTTGGAGGGAGAGGGAATAGTAGGTGCAAGGACCCTGAAGAATGGCAAGGAGGCTGGCGGGCCCGAAGGGGTAGGACACGAGGGGAGAGGTTTTGCTGGCTCTCTGTGGTATATTTGCCTTCACTCCAAGGTGAGGACAGTTGTGGTCACTCTCCACGGCCTCCCTGGAGGGAGACTGCGTTCCTGGGTCGGTTAGTGGCAGGTCCCGTGAGAAGCAGCAGTGGACTGTGAGCCGGAGGCCCCCGGTCCTGCCGGTAGCAGTCGGGGGAGCCGTGTTCCCACCCGGCTGGGATCACTCCTTTCGATGGAGAACAGATTTCCTGTCAATCCTTGAAATATGATTAATGGTAACAAATGACCGTCTGGAAGAGCGTTTTTTAGGCGAAGTGCTCAGGGAGGTTTAGAAAGGCTAGTTGTTGCCCTCTGTTCTCTACCACTTCCCTCTTTGCACCCCTTCAAAAATGACTCCGTTTACCTCATGCAGCCTTTGTGACTTTGGAACGCCCCATAGCGGAAAGAGCAGCGAAGGGGGCAAGCGGGTGTGGGGTCTGCGTCTGTTGTCGCAAATCATCTCTGGGTTTCGCCACTCCTTCTGCTTCCGGGAGCCTCCTTTTCCTTCTCTGTAAAACGAGAGGATTGGAGTAAGTGATCTCTCAAATCCTTCCACTTGTAGTAGCGCTCTGCTTCTTCTCATTTATCCGTACGAAGCAGTCAGTGGCGTGAAAGCCAGGTCAAGAATAATGGTGCTCCGCTGCAGACGTGTCTGGTAGTGATAATAAAGTAAGCTTTTCTTCAGGTAGAGAGCTGCCCAGTTCTGGAACCATCCTCACCATCCTCTGATCCTTTGAATAAGCCATCTCTAAGAGGTTTTTTTCGGGCTCAGTTCCCTCACGGTCCGCTTGCTGTCTGGGGTGCATCGTTTTGTGGTTGTTGTTTTGTTTTTTAACTGACAGTTTGGTGGACCTCTATGCAGTTCATGCCATTGTTGTGGTGACCACCATACCAGGCAGAGAGGAGTTGATTTGGGGCCCCAGCGGGATACTTGGAGTTCTCTGTGCTGGCTTTGCCCTTTCTAGGCCACTGGAAAAGGAAATAGCTGAAGTTGAAACTGACCTCTGTTGCCCCCACTCTGCCCTCCACCTCCCACCCATACACTAGGCCAAATATCACAGCTTTGTAGAGTCTGTTCTTCAGATTCCTGAAATCTCCTAAGCTCAACCTGTGGTCACATTGTGCCTGGCACCAGGTAATTAAGGGGTAAGCAGCACAGGAAAAAAATTACCATTTCTTTTCTGGTTGGGTGGTGTAATAAAAATCATTGAGCCTTTTCAGAAGCTCACACTAAGTGCCTGAACTTGAGGGGGGAAAAAAGGATCTGAACTTGATCTTCAACCTAAAAGTGCTTATTTTCTGTTAAAGTAAATTGCAGAGAATTACCAATGTTACAAGATTAAATTATATATGTGAAGATGGTCGAGAGAAATGCTAGTTTACAAACAAGCTTTTTGGACACAAAGCTGGTGAGGAGAAAAATATTTGATCAGGCTGTTCTTTTTTTTTTTTTTTTTTTAATGTTTATTTTTGAGACAGAGAGAGAGAGCATGAACAGGGGAGGGTCAGAGAAAGAGGGAGACACAGAATCCGAAACAGGCTCCAGGCTCTGAGCTGTCAGCACAGAGCCCGACATGGGGCTCGAACCCACGGACCGCGAGATCATGACCTGAGCCGAAGTCGGACGCTTAACCGACTGAGCCACCCGGGCACCCCTGATCAGGCTGTTCTTTCAGGAAAGAATAACTTTCGTTTTCAGTTGGCTTTTTGCCTGTCTCCCCTTTTCCCAAACGATGAGAGAAGGGAGGGCTTTGGATACATTTTCCATAGCGTAGGATTTTTTTTCCTATGGGAGCACAGAGCATCTCACACCTACAGGAAAAATTTACTGCCAAATTGGAAGAGTCGGTAATACGAAGCATTCCCAGCCAAGAGAGTAAGAATGAGGGCTGTGGGGGAAAATAGACACAGAAAGAGGTAGAGGAGAAAGACGGGAGTGAAAGAGGGGGACGTAATGGGAATCTTTAAAGTACAGATTGATAACCCACAGGCCTCCGGATGGGAAGAGATGCTTATGAAGGGTCAGTAAAGAAAAGTTGCTTCAGGGATTTCCTGTTCCTCCTGCTGCGTTTTCTTTTACGTTGTTAGAAGTAGCCCAAACTTGGACAAAAAGAAGAGAAAACTTGTGGAGGCTGTATCTGAAGTTTCAGTGTCCAAGATAATTGATTTAATAAGAGCATTTTCAGCATGCCCTTTATTGCCACTTGTCTTACATCACGCTGCTCCCAACGACAGTTGAATTTATCCTCAGTTCCCTGAATTTCCTGCTCTTTGGGATGAGCTTTGCCTTAGTCTTCAGAGGGGAGAGCTGTTTGCAAGGGAAAGGCAGGTGCCCTGTATTGCTTGAAGCGGAGAAGGTGGGTTCTATCCTGTCCGGCTGCAGTTCCTGGTGCCCTCCTCTTCTCTGATTTTTGTGGACTGAATAAATAAACAACTTATTTGTATCAGAGAATGAGTGATTTTTAAAGTTCATTGTGATCAAAGAAGATGGTCAAGTGTTCCTTCAATTGTGTACGTACTCTGGTATAGATTGTAGCATAGAACTGCACAGAATTTTCGTGGCAGCTTTTTACCATTTCTGGAAACTAAAAAGTAAATTGAATTAGTGAGTAACACTGAATTTTTGAGAAATTGACTAGAGAGACATAAATAGTGTTAATGCTGTTGAAGGTGTACCTTTCTTTCTGTCTCTTGCTTAAGGCGACTAGTACAGTGTAGTGGATATTGTAGGTGGTAGAAAAAGAACTCAAATCTCTATGTAGGTATTTGCAAAATTATAACCGTAGCCCTCATTATGCATGTTTCTGTTCTGCCACGTGTTTAATCTTGAACTTGCATGGAGCATGCAAAGCTTAGAAACGTAACATTGATTTAACCCCTGAATGTTGAAAAGATAACACACATTTCCTTGTTGCTAATACACGAATCTGGGCAAAGGGACCAGGGCTTTGTTGGGAATCTGGACATGTAGAAAAATTGTCGTGTTAGGTGTAAAAGAGCATTGTGTTCATGGTTCGAGTTTTGTCTTTAGAATAAAACGAGAACGTACTTTGAATCAGTAAAAAACGTACAGAAATGCACTCTGAAGCACTGATTTATGCGGCCCGTTCCTGTGAAATTAAACGCATGGAGGGACTCACGGGTTTAATGTTTCGTGGTCCTCCTCGTCCTTCCATCGGCTGGGCAGTCTGCTCAGAACTTCTTCTTCCCTGCAGTTGATCCAGTCCCCTGTGACAACCCCCCTCGGGCTGATCATGTTGAAGACGACTTCAGAAGAGCTGGCTTGTCCCCGTGAGGACCTCAGCGTGGCTCGGAAGGAGGAGCTGCGGAAGCTGCTGCTGGACCAGGTGCAGACTGTGCTCGGGCTGCTGACAGGTGAGCCGTTCGGTGGAGGCAAGGGACACTGGCGGTGGTGCTCTGAACTTTTGAGCAGTTTTGCTTGTGACTGTGGCCGAGTTGAAAAACAAAGAATGTGGTGGTGGCGTGTGCCGTCAGCACTGAGCCTCGTGTCCAGCACGTGGTAGGACCTCCCCAGATGCTCGTAACCTACTTGTTTTTACTGTCTTTATGAATCGGTCCTCACTGTCACTGTCGTTAATGAGGTAGAGATCAGGTCATGGGAATGTGATTGAAATGCCAAGCGCTGCATGCTCAGTAAGGTGGGTGGCGAGCACTTCATGTAAAATAATTTGAATATAAGATCAGGAGAAGTTGGAGGAGGAGGGATGGGGAAATTTCAAAATCCGCTCAGGGAGGTGAGACCAGATGTGGCATCCGCACCCCGTGCGCCTGGTCGTGGTTGTAAGTAGCATTTTGCTCATCATCTTGTCTGTTTTATCAGAGCCTCGTAACCGTGTGTGAGGAGTAAGAATAAACAGAAAGCAAAAGCAAACCGCACAACGAGACAGGAAGGCGGGACGAGGGTGGAGCATGCTGGCTCGCCAGGGCCCTGCCGCTTGCTTGTACGAGGAGCAGGTGCAGCCCTAGTCTCGGGGCCCTTGAGGCGCCGGGGGCCCGCTTGCTGCTTGAAGGAATGCCGCAGCGCAAAAAAAAAAAAAAAAAAGAAAAAAACAGTTTTTATCTGCAGCTCCTCTGCCCAGACTTCCTCTCGGATCTCTAGGAACTTGCTTCTTTTGTCTGTGTTACAAAAGTGCTGGGCATGCAGTGGTCACTTAAAATCGGTTGAGAATGCCCGATCAAAAGTAAACTTGTCGTTTGCCCCATGTCCTTCCCCACGTCCCTAGGGGAGACCCACACCTCAGAGCATTTGTTCATTCAGAGCACGTTCAGTGATGCCCCCAACTAGATGTTATATTTCTATAGTTAAGGATCATGTCTGATACCTCTGTGTCCTGCCGTGAAGACGTTAAAATTTTTTCAGTTGGGGTTAATTCACGTAGCGTCAAATCCACCATCTGACGGTGTCGCAACTCGGTTTTTAATACATTCACAAGGTTGTGCAACGATCACGCGATCTAATTCCAGAACACTTTCATTACTGCCCTTTCCCCCTCCAACCCCTGGCAACCACTAATCTGTTCATCTCTATGGATTTTCCTATTTGGCCTTTTCGTTTAAAAAAAAAAAAATCATACACTATGTGGCCTTCTTAGTGGGATACTTCAAAGCCCATCCATGTTATAGTATTAAATGTTTTGAAAACACCGTACTTTCAAAAGCTTTTACAGCTGATCATCTTATGCAGTAGGTTTCATAAAGAGGTCCAGAGAGGAATAAAACACAGTCCCTGTCTCTAATGAGGGGTACTTGAGTTGGGGAGAAAGACAGCTAAAGCCAGTGTGTTAAGAGTTCAGTAGAGGTGTGTTTTACTCACAGGCAGAACCGAGCAGATGAGACTTCCTGGGGACGATGGCGGCTGGGTGGAGCTCTGAGGGATGGACAGGCAGCAGCCTGGTAGAAAGGTCCAGCTCGGGTTGGCAGGAGGAGAGCAGCTCAGAAGCTGGTGTGGAAGGAGTAGCACCCCGTTGAGTGTGCGCAGCCTTTGAATGGAGGTGGGGGTGGGGCCGGGTGGGAGAGCGGAGGCCGGAGGGAAGCCATGTTCCATGGGTGGGTGACGCTGTTGGCTGGGGGAGGGGCGGAAGAGCAGCAGTGGCAGGTTTGTGGGGGAAGATGAATTGAGTTTAGGACATCCAGGTGGTGGTGTCCGGGAGCGTCTAGTTGGACCTACGGGAGAGGGAGGTTTAAATACTGACGTTTGATCGAAGGGATCAGATCTGTTTTTAAATCTGACTTTCATAGGTTAGACTTCATTTCTCTCTTAAACTCCATTTCTCCTTCCTCACTAGGTATCTTGGAGACTGTCTGGGACAAGCACAGTGTCACTGCTGCCACCCCACCACCATCCCCGACCTCAGGAGAAAGTGGTACGGTCTGCCCACCACGTATGCTGTTCCTCTTTTTAAATGCACTTGGGGGGCTCGATGGGGTAGCGATTGCTTATCTATGCCAGATACAGATGCTGATTTTTCCTTCATCACTTTTTGGCCTCTCTGCCCACGTTTTCTGAGTAGGTAGCTCTACTTGGTTCTTTGTAAGTACTTGTACTTCCTTAATGTAACGTTTTGAACAACATACATTGTTTCTTCCTTACCCATCAGAAAAATGGCACCTTTGATGTTCTGTCATCTACTTCCGTTCCCTTCAGCTTATAACTGTGTTGTCCCTCCTGGTTTGTTTTTTGCTTTTTCTCAGATTTCATGGCTGTATTGCTCATGCTCACGTTGGCATGAGCCCGTGAGCCTGAAAGGTCTGCTTTGCAGTTATGCAGGGGTCAAGGTCCGAGGAGCTGGTTGGCTTCCTGAAGCCGGGGGGTGGGTAGGGGGGGCGGCACGACACACGGGAGAAGAGGATGTGGAATGCTTTCTTCCCTTTGGGGCTCAGGGAAGATGGGGCCAGTGTGCAGTAATCACATCACCATCAACTTAGATCAGTTCAGAATAATTTGATAAAGCATGGCTATATTTACAGTGTCACTAAGTGGTTTACTGGAGGCTGATTATCCACAGTTACATTAATCAGTCTTTCAGAAGTGAGTGCAGTTCGCCTAAAAATGGCTACTTCAAGGATAGAAAGAGGAAATGTGTCTGAGCAGAAACTTTTCGTTTCTGAATGCTTGTGTTTACACTAAGTGATCACAGGTGCTTAGAGTATATCCTGTGAATTGCATATTGTTGCTTCCTCTGCTGTAAAGGTTGGTTGGTATGGCTGAGGGGAAATATTTCTCCATCTTTCTCCTTTACCCCGGGAAATGGGCTGTTGAAATCAGACACCTCTAAGCCCGAGCTGTTTCATGTAGCCTGTTATTGTTAGTATGTGGAAGCTGAAATTCTCGCAGAGCTGAAAATACAGCATGACGTTTTGAGGACTGCCCATAGTCTACCAATTTATTCCAAATTCCATTTGTCATACTTGGATTAAAAACTGTTAGCCACTTGTCAGACTTCTTAGATGAAACACTATTACAGAGCTTTAGAGTGTTTTAAAAGCCAACAGGGATTTGAACTTTATTTGTACTTGGTGGCAGACTTTCATTTTCAACGTGGATATTTGAGATGACTTAGCAGATTTAAATTTTGCAATACATGATGATTAAAGGAAAAACTGCAAATGAGGCAGAGCCTTGCTTTCATGAGGGTACACTTTGGAATCTCTTGCAGGTTAGCTGATCTTAGAATATGTCATTTTGTTTAAATAGTAGCTTGCAAAGATCAGTTCTGTTGAATTGGATTTGGTTTTAGGTGGTTGAATAGTGGCTTAGCATCCAGTTTCGTTAGCAGTTTACTCTAGTAAAACTTGTTTTTCTGAGATCATTTTCCAATGCCAAAAGTGGTATGTTTTAGTTGGCTTTGTTCAGCTACATGTTCTGAGCGAACTCAGTTTATGCTTTGATAGACTTATTTTCCTGGAGGCCAGGTTGGGGAATATCAGATAATACAAATCAAAAATACATTCTTGCCTGTTTTCTGTGTTGCCTAAGTTTTGCTTATGAGGCTAGGTAAAATACAGTATGAACCAACTTGACATTTCCATATAAACAAAACCTAAAAATGTGTGTATTTCTTGAGAATTGCCTCTTAGACAGTATTAAGACATTTTTGAAGTCTTGAATTTTAGTATTTGAGAAAGAACAAAACAAATGGAGACTGTTTGGAGCCTGGGAAGTTAAGCAAGCTGGTATACTTCCCCTTAAAAAAAAAAAAATAGGGGGCACCTGGGTGGTCCAGTCAGTTGAACGTCCAACTTCAGCTTTAGGACACGATCTCACAGTTTGTGAGTTTGAGCCCCGTGTTGGGCTCGCTGCTGGCAGCACAGAGCCTGCTCTGGATTCTCTGTCCCTCTCCTGCTCATGTTCTCTTGCGCGCTCTCTCTCTCTCTCTCTCTCTCTCTCTCTCTCTCTCTCTCTCAAAAATAAAACATTAAAAAAAATACAGGATTGCATGTTCATTTGACATGCCTTTTTCTCTGACAGTTGCAAGTGAAGCTGTTGGATCTTGTTCCGTTATTTGGATGATGCTGAGGAGTTAATTAACATTTATTTTGATGGTTTTGCTCAACTGCCTTTGTGCACTTAAGACACCAAGTTAAGCAGTAAAATTTCTAAAAAGTTGTTGAGCTTTATTGACCTAATAAACTTGCTGTTAGGGACAAAAATTATTCTGAGCAACCTTAGAGCCCAGTGAGTAAAGCAGATAATTCCTATACCCACCCCACCCAACCTTTATTTAATGGGCAATCCCTGCCGGAATCCCCGAATCCCTCCGCGGTGGGGAGTCCCCCCCCCCCCCCCCCCCCCCCCCCGGATACTTTCTGGTAACATCGTTTTTTGTCTGATCATTTTCAAAGAACAAAGCCCGCGGACGAGTCCCTGCGGTGGCTACTCTGGCAGTCTGGAGATAGAAAAAGCTTTGAAGGGTGCTTGTGGTCTGCTTCTCAGAATAGTTCCTCAAATTGTTGCCTTATCTTTGAAACTTGCCTCATTACACCAGAATCCTGTGAAGTAGATGACGGTTTCATCTCTCGTTTACGAATGAGGAAACTGGGGCTCATGGGGGAAATCACGTCACCAGTAAGTGGTGGAGCAGGGGCGGCCTCGGCGCACGGTCTTCGGCCGAAGTTTGCCTTCTCGGCCGCTCACCCCACGTCTCTCTGCCTCCCCCTCCCCCTGGTTCAGAGCCCCGGCCACCCCGCATCTGCTGGGCGCATCTGCTGGGCGCCTTCCCGGACTGCGGCCGTCCTGGGCTGTGAGAGGAGCAGGAGAGGAGGAGCAGTGCTCTGAGGACTGAACGTGACCGTGCCCTCCACACGCTGGGGCTGCGGCTTCCTGCTGCGCCCGGGCAGCCTCAGCCCTCCTGCTTTCAGAGCCTCTGCTCGTCCTCCCCTCTCCTTGCCTGGACAGATGGGGTGGGGGAAGCGGGGAACAAAATGAAATGGTGTAAATACTGCAGCTCCGAGTTAGCTTTCACTGTTCTGCAATAAAACTTGAGACCGTACCTTTCATCGGCGTGATGTGTACTGTCCAGTGTGGGTCTGTGCGGATACCAGTGATGGCAAGAGTCCAGGGTGCAGGTACGTTAGAGAGCTCAGATGGTGGGGACCAGTTTATGCCTTCCTGTTTTCTCCCACACTTTGCAGATTGCAGATCTTTGTGCACTTGGAAATCTTGTCACGTATTCCCTTATAAGCTGCTTAGAGGAAGATGTCTCTCGGGAGGGTCACTCAACTCCTGTGATCTCATTTTCTTAGCCTAAGGGCTCCTTGACTGGATTTTCTCTCCATTTCGCTGGACCGAGGCTGCAGTGAGATCCCTGGTTCTCAGTGGGGAGTGATTTTGCCCTGCAGGGGATATCTGGCTGGCAACATGAGAAGTATTTTGGCCAGCGTAAGAGAGGAGAGGGTACTGCTGGCATCTGATGAATGGAAGCCAGGGGTGTTGCTAGATACCTACGATGCGCAGAACAATAACGAATTATCCAGCCCCGAATGTCAGTAGTGCCGAGGTCGAGAAACCCTGGATTAGGAAACGAAGAAATAAAAAAATAAAAAAGCCCAGGGGATCTTTGCATGAATGTCTGACCTGTCTGGGTTACTTCCAAGTGAGTAAATGCACCAGAGTCGTCCAGGCACCTCTCGGCAGGGATGCACATTGCTGCCAGAGCCTGGCCTGATTCAGAGAAGCCGGTCGTTCACAGGCTCTACAACCAAGATGTTACCCTGTTGCATAGGTAGCTTGTCAGGCTCTCTGAAGTTTGCATTGGAAATGCAGCATGAAGCAGTGTCTGTTCTGTGGTAATTCCTTCCCCTTTGTTTAAAATACAATTTTTGAGGGGCTGCTGGGTGGCTCAGGTCACGATCTTGTGGTTTGTGGGTTTGAGCCCCTCATTGGGCTCTGTGCTGACAGTACATGTCCTCTGTCTCCCTCTCTGCCTCTCCCCTGCTTGCTCTGTCAACAACAACAACAGCAACAAAAATTTAAAAAAATACAGTTTTTGAAAAGCTCTTTGTAGTCTACTAAAATACTTTGAAATATTTAAAGTCGAATAAAATCATCACTTCTCAGCCTTTTGGCTAAGATCAAGTGTAGTATCTGTTTGTATCAGTTTAAAGTTGAATAAAATCATTTTCATTGAGAACAACCTTAAAAGATTCTTATTTTGAGGGGCAAAAATCATAGGTCATCTTACACACTTAAAGAATTTTGCATCATCCCATTCAGCATTTGCCTTTGGGTTTATGTCTTTCTACAGTTGTGGCCCTGGTGCGCACGCTCTTTTAATTAGGACTTTAGAGCATACATATTTTCCTGTATTTGAATATTAGCTTTCTTATCGCTTTGCCTGGCTGCCTGATCCTTCCAGTGGGTCTGCTTTCTGGGAAGGAGCATAGGCTTAGGGGCCAGACCTGGGTTTCCGTTTCAGCTGTACTTCTTAGGAGCTGAGGAACACGGGCAAACACTTAATCTATCTGGGTCTTATTCTAACAGTTTTGTAAATGCAGATAATAATATCTACCTTAGAGCTGTGGGCATGAAATGAGAATATGTATGTAAAGTGCTTAATGCAGCACTAAGCAAATAATAACACATTAAATGGTGGCTGTTCTTACATAATTGTTGCTGTTGTTTTGCTTTTTCCCCCTTTGGCAATCCTCGTCTGGAAAAATTCTTCTGAGCTAAAGCGTAGAGAGACAACTTTTTTGTTTTGCTTTCGTTTTTAAAGCCAGGATTTATTTCTAATGAAAAATGCTCAAGAGATTTAAAAGGTCCAAGGGCCCAAAGATGTCCAGGTCTAATAGAACATAGATGGTATCTGTTGGTTCAGTGTCCATTTGATCCTGGTTAATTATTTGCCCCGTTAATCCTTCTAGTTGGGTGGTGGTGGTTTCCTCTAACACCAACATCTTTCATAAATGGCCCCAGTCCATGAATGACGAGAAGAGCGACACCAGAAACAGTTACTATCTTTGAAAGAGAGAAAGTTGAACATATGACTCAGGTGGACAGCCACCACAACAATTCCAGAAATCAACCTTATTAATCCAGCAACAAACTGAAATATGCCCAGATTGTACTTGAACATCCTTCTTGCGTTCTTCTTTGAAACCAGGTCCTCTGATGATCAGTGTGAGCAGCTGAGATCATGATGAGTCTTACCTAGTACTAAATGCAGCTCTTTCAGAGCAGAGACCACTGAACACCCTACCAGATAAAATGCCAGGGGACAGATTTTTAATCTGCCTGTTTTTGAATAGGCTCCCTGCCCAAGGTGGGGCTTGATTGAGCTCACGACCCTGAGATCAAAAGAGTTGCATGCTCCACCGACTGAGCCAGCAAGGTGCCCCACTTGTTAATCTACTTTTAACAGTAGAAATTAAACCCCTTATTAATAAATCACAAAATCCTCATGTTACTGGCAGAGGAGATGAGGCCGAGAAAGATTAATCCGTTCGTATTCATTCAACATTAGTATTAAGGTAGCAGTTTTCAGTAGGTCTGGGAGTCCCTGGAAGTCCCCCAAGCCCTTTCAGGCGTCCCAAAGATCAAATATATGTTCATAAAAATACTGTGACATTTTTTTTAAGTGTTTATTTTTGAGAGAGAGAGTGCAAGTGGAGGAGGTGCAGAAAGAGAGGGAATCAGAGGCCCTGCACTGACAACAGAGAGCTCGACGCGGGGCTCGAACTCACGAACTGTGAGATCCAGACCTGAGCTGAAGTCACACGCTCCAGCGCCTGAGCCACCCGGGCATCCCATGTTGTTTGTCATTTTTACGCATGCTCTCATGAGTATACTGGATAGAACTCAATCAGATCCCACATTGCAGTTAACCTTGAAGAAATTTAAAGTGAAAGTTTAATACTGGAGGATAGCTGCAGTTACCCAGAAAGGCCGCCGAAGAGCTGCTTTCTTTTTCAATTGTGTATCTCTGTGAAGCTGTTTTTTTCATATACTTTAGTGAAAATAGCATATTGCAACAGATTGAAGCAGATGAGAGAGTCTAGCGATCTTTTTTTAAGCCAGACAGACATTAGAGAGATTTCCAAAAATGTACAAACGGTGCTACTCTTCTCACTTATTTTTTGATGGCAAAGTACACTTTATCACTTAAAAATATTTTATGCTAACATGTAATGGGTTTAATATTATTAAATGAATATTTAAAATACAGTATTTGAAAACGTCAGTTTTAAATTCTGTGTGATGAATATCAATAGAAATAACCCGCATAAAAGTTCTTTGGCATCCTCAATAATTTTTTCTTTTAATGTGTATTTATTTATTTATTTATTTATTTAAAAAAATTTAAAAAAGAATTTAATGTTTATCTTCTTTGAGAGAGAGAGAGAGAGAGTGAGCAGGGGAGGGGCAGAGAGAGAGGGAGATAGAGAATCTGAAGCAGGCTCCAGGCTCTGAGCTGTTAGCGCAGAGCCTGATGAGGGGCTCGAACTCACAGACTGCAAGATCATGACCTGAGCTATAAAGTTGGACGCTTAACCAACTGAGCCACCCAGGCGCCCCTATTTATTTTTGAGAGAGTGGGGGCCGGGGGAGGGGGAGAGACAGAGGATCCAAAGCGGGCTCTGTGTGGAGAGCAGAGACCCTGATGCGGGGCTTGAACTCCCGAACTACAAGGTCATGACCTGAGCCAAAGTTGGATGCTCAGCTAGCTGACTGAGCCACGCAGGCACCCCTGCATCCTCAATAATTCTTTTTTATTTTTTTAATGTTTTTTTTAACGTTTATTCATTTTTTGATAGAGAAAGAGTGTGAGTGGGGGGGAGGGGCAGAGAGAGAAGGAGACACAGAATCCGTAGCAGGCTCCAGGCTCTGAACTGACAGTACAGAGCCCGACGCGGGGCTCGAACTCACGGACTGTGAGGTCATGACCTGAGCCGAAGTCGGATGCTTAACCGACTGAACCACCCAGGCGCCCCCTCAATAATTCTTAAAGAGCGTAAAAAAGTTCTGGGATCAAAATGTTTGAGAATTGTTTCTGTAAAGCACAAAATACAGTGTAAAGATTTAGCCACTATTCCACCATCCAGAAATAACGTCATTCCAGATGCCTCTCTCTATATAGATACAGAGAGGTTAAGCTAAATAAAAAGACAAAGTGGCATCATAATCATACATTTTAATTTTTTTAAAAATTTAATTTTAAGTAATATCTCTACCCAACGCGGGGCTTGAATTCATGACCCCAAGGTCAAGAGTCACATACTCTCCTGACTGAGCCATCCAGGTGCCGTAGTTTTTATTTTTCATAGCAACAAATTGTAGTTTTTGTAGTTTTACCTGAGTTGAATGGGAAGTATTAACCCTAAGGGAATTCCTGACCTTGGGGTGGTTTTGCCACAGGAATATTAGTTTGTAAAAGACACCTCTAGGATTAAGAAGAAAAAAAAAGATTATGAAAACCATTTTCTTACTACATGTTTTAATCCTAGCCCATATGTTTTGAGACAACGTGCTTGTGAAAGAAGAGGGAGTTAGGCAGCACACCCTCTGTGATTCCTACATATGTTTAGTCTTGATTCTATATTTAATTCAAGCTTGCTGTAGTCCCCTTGCCACAGCTGCTCCATTCCTTAATTCTGCGTTTTTGTTTATTGCTTTATTTGCATGGTTTCACGAACAGGATCCTCCTTAAGAGGCCGTGGGCAGTATGTTACCTGAGTTTTTGTGTTTGAGAAAATGTCCCCTTCCTTTGTACTCAAAGGAGAGCTTTGGGTTAAGTCATTTTCTGCCTCAGAACTTGTGGGTACTCTACCACTGCTGTCTGGTTTCTTGCGTGACTGTGGAGAAGTCTGAGTGTGGTGTTTTATCTTCTGTGCTTGTGCTTTTTCTGCCTATGTTCCTTCCTTATTCCTAAGATTCTTAGTCTTTATCATTTCTTCTTGAGGCAGAATAAGCCCCTTTATTTTGCATATGCACGTCTTTTTTTCAGGAAAGTTTTCTTGTTATAGCTTTGAATGTCCGTCTTCTCTAAAATCATGATACCTTGTTTTTGCAATCCCCATTTCGTCTTGCGTGCTTTCCGTTAGTCTCATGCTTCTCAAAAATGAAGCCTGTTGGAGGTTCCTCAGAAAGTTAAAAAAAGAACCACTCCAGGACCCAGCAGCACTACTGAGTATTTACCCGATGAATTACAAAAACACCAATTCAGAGGGATACATGCACTCCTATGTTTATAGCTGCATTATTTGTAATAGCCAAGATATGGAAGCAGCCCAAGTGTCCCATCAGTTGATGAATGGATAAAGAAGATGTGGTATGTCTATTCAATAGAATATTGTTCAGCCATTAAAAACACACACACACACAAAGAAGAATGACATCTTGCCATTTGCAATGACCTGTATGGATGGAGCTAGAGGTATTATGCTGTGTGAAATAAGTCCGAGGAGGACAAATACCATATGATTTCAGTCATATATGGAATTTAAGAAGTAAAGCAAATGAGAAAAGGAGAAAAAGAGACAAACTAAGAAAGAGACTCTTAACTGTAGAGAACAAACCGATGGTAACCAGAGGGGAGGTGGGGGTTGGGTGAAATAGGTGACGGGGATTAAGGAGCACGCTTGTGATGAGTGCCAGGTGATTAAAATAAAAACTTAAAAAAATAAAAATAAAAAAATTAAGCATGTGCAAGGATCACTTCTTGGAAAGTATGTAAAAACCCGTGTCTCGACCACACGCCTCCAGGATCCCCAGCAGCACGTGTGGGCGGGGCCTGAGAATTTATATTTCTGACAAGCTGCCAGATGTGCTGATGATACAGGTCCACAGACTAACCTCGAGCAGCGCAGTAGTTCTCAGTGTTTTAGTCTCTGGACCCCCTTATTTAATTGAAATATAATTGACCTATAACACTGTAGCTCCAGGGGTACAACGTCATGGTGTATGTATTGCAAACTGATGGCAACGGAAAGTGGAGTTAATATCCATTACCCCACACGATTAAAAATTGTCTTTCTTATGATGGGAACTTTTAAAATGCACTCCCCTAGCAACTTTCAAATGTACAGTACGGTCTCGTTAACTAACCGTAGTCACCACCGTACATTGTATCCCCAGGACTTCTGTATCTTCTAACTGGAAGTTCGTATTTCTTGACCCCCTTCACCCGTTTTGCCCACCCTGCCACCCAGGATGGCTTTACTCCTAAAAGTCGCCATGGTCCTCAAAGAGCTTTGTGGGTTGTATCTGTTGACAGAACACTGAGGAAATTTACATTAATTCATTTAAAAAGAACTGTGATGAACTCTACATACGAACAAAGAGTGTATTTTAACGAAAGATGCATTCTCCGAAGCAAACGAAAGTTTCCTGAGTGGCATTATTTTACGTTTCTACAGGTATCTTTAATGTGTAGCTTGGTGAAAGGTGGCTTTTGTTTTCTCTTTGTTGTACTTAAATTGGTTTGTAAGAGACTTGGTAGGGTGGTTGTTAAAACCTTTGTGTATTTCCAGGTGACTTACTGAGTAACCTGCTGCAGAGTCCTAGTTCAGCCAAACTGTTGAACCAGCCAATCCCCATCCTTGATGCGGAGAGTGAGTATATGTGTTCCCTGGCCTTGGAGTGCCTGGCCCATCTCTTCAGTTGGATTCCTCTGTCTGCCAGCATCACCCCGTCCCTCCTAACCACCATCTTCCACTTTGCGCGCTTTGGCTGTGACATCCGGGCCAGAAAGATGGCGTCAGTTAACGGCAGCAGCCAGAACTGTGTGTTGGGTCAGGAGCGTGGCCGTCTTGGGGTCCTGGCCATGTCCTGCATCAATGAACTCATGTCCAAGAACTGTGTGCCTATGGAATTCGAAGAGTATTTACTGCGTATGTTCCAGCAGACTTTCTACCTCCTGCAGAAAATCACCAAGGATAACAATGCCCACACGGTGAAGAGCAGGCTAGAAGAACTTGATGAGAGGTAATGAACACGGGTGTGGAACCGGCCGCGCCCTAAGAAGGGGCCTTGACCGTTTACCGTGTTGTGCCGCATGGTGTCTGTAATCCTCTTTGGTTTCAGAATTTGGGGCTCCTGATGAGGAACGGACAGGTAGGTGTGTACCAGTAAGTCTGAGCTTAGCTGGAAGGGCTAGGGTGGTAGAGGGGAGCGAGCCACGTTTGGAAAGTGACTGTGAATTGTGCAGGTTTGTTGTCTTTTCCCCCGTCTGTCTCCTGTCCTCCCTTCCACCCCCTCCCTTCGTCCTCACGATTCGCCTGCAGGTCTGAGTGGCGCAGGAGCCGAGTCTGCTGCTCGTGCGTAGCCAGGAACGTGGGAGGAGGCCGCGGAGGTACAGGAGTTCTAATCCCCCCTTTTCACTTGACGTTGCTTGTCAGTTTTGACTCCGTGACTTTCCCCCAGTGCACATCGTGCAGCGTGTAGGCATGTCGTTGTTACTGTGAGTTTTACACACACGGCACATTTCCATCAAAAGCAAGAGATGGGAATATGGGCACGTCTTAGCGTGGCACACACCGTGTTTCTTTGTGACCCTCCCCTTGAATGGAGCTGAAAATTACCTCGCTTTTCCTTCTGAAGTACTCACACAGATGACGCTGTCACGGTACCCTGAGGCGTGGTCTCATGTATCTCCCTCCAGATGATGTCATTTATCTGTCTTAGAGCTTTCATCGATGTGACGCTGGCTACTGCTGTGTAAAAGCAAGAGAGCAAATTAGAAACTTACATATAAAAGCATCATGTTGACTGTTCAGAAACTTCCAGGCAGATACATTGTATTGAGTTAGAAAATTCTTCTAGAGCGCTGGGCAGCAAATGTTGTTAATATGTTAATCCACTTTCCTTGGCTTGCTTTTTGCTATTAAGCTGCGTAGAGTTAAGGCATTTTCCTTTTCCTTAGAGTAAGTAGCAGAATGTAAAGTCAAGTGCTTACAGACCATTTTAGTGCTTTTTAATTTAGCAACTTTGTTAAGGTTTTCTAAAGTTAAAAACATAGATGCCTAAGATTGTTTTGGTTTGGTCCATCGTAAACAAGCTTTGTGCGAAATTTTCTTTGTATAATCACAAAAGAGCTCATAATCTCTTATGGTGATATGTTGGTTTTATTTTTCATTTTATAATAGCTTTCTGTATGAATTCAGAGGCATCGGCATGCAAACAGACAATTTCATATCCTTTCTAGCTTTGGTTAAGAAAGGCTGCACTTTATATGTTAAAAAAAAGTCTAGCTGCTCGTACCGACCATCAGGTATCAGTTGTTTTGAGTTTTACGTGAGGCATAACGTTCGCGATGGCTGACGTTCTGATGGCATAGAGATGTCGTCGTGGGCTACCTATGTACTGATTTTGTTACGTGTAACTTCTGTGCTTTTGGTTTTATATTTTAATCCTATGCTTCCTATTGCCCTGTGAAAGCTGAGAGGTGCCTGGAAGCAGAAAGGTGACATGAACAATACTGTGTGCTTGCTTCCTGGCTCTTGGGCCCCTGACCACTAATTCTAAACAGCTAAGTCCATTCTCGGTTGTTTAGGGGCTACTTACCCCAGGGCCTTTGCTTCTCTTCTCCTTTCCTGCCTGTTTCTATCTTTCAACTGCTCATTAGCACCTGTACCAGAAGGTGGGCAAGGGAAAGAAAATGAGGTGAAATAAAATCTATAGGTTTAGCTGCCGAAAGGCCCTTGTTTGTGTGCCCAAAAACTTGGGTTGGAGAGTGAAATAAAATCGAGATTGCGTGACATTTACCCAAGCTTCTCTTTATTTCATGGGTGGCAGGGAATTGAGTGCATCTTCCTAGAGAGCAGTAAACTGGGTGACGGCTCTGACTGTCACGTTAGAAGCAGAAGGAGGAATAAGGAGCCCCTGCTGTTGAGTATCTGTGGTCAAAGGCATCGAGAGAAGTCTCTTCACGCCTGACTCTCTCTAAAAACAGTTGATTCAAACGCCTTAACTGTGTTTCAAGTTTTTGGTCCCATGATCCACAGAGACGGCCATTCTCCTGATCAAGCAGATTAATGTTTTTGTTTTTGTTTTAAACTGCAAAAAAGTTTACATGTGTGTTAGCTAGCCGTTTGGAGGTCAGGCAGGCAGGTTGGCCGCCCTCAGGGTGCTGGGTCCCAGGCACAATGTGGGACATTTTATTTATGGGGCAATTTTGCTCTTCTGCGTAGTTGTCTTTTTCTCCCCCATTATTATTGCATAGATCCTTGCTTTAAAAAACAAAAAACAAAACTTTTTGCAGTTAGGACTTTCAGAATTGGTTTTAGCCATTATTTAATTTTTGACTAAGGCCCATAAGTAAGTCTTTATCGGTGTCCGCAATGTGATCTCTGGAGGTACGTCCATCTCATTTTCGAATCACCTTTTGGTATTTAGGGGCTTAAAATGACAGTTTGTGACATGTGAGAGTGATGATGTGCTGTGTGTCTAGTAACAACAGTCTCTTATCCTTGCAGCTGGGACCCACACTCCTCTGGGAAATGATATTGTACATACACATGAGTTGGGGAGCCACTGTGCTGTGAAAGGAAAGAGCACTGGCCTGGGAGTGGATGGTAGTCGGTAGTCCCATTTTGCCACGAGCTGGCCCAGTGACCTTGGGCGGGTCACTGGCTCTCCCTGGGCCTCGTCTGTACAGTGAAGCGCCAGACTGAATTGTCCCCGAGGCCTGTCCAGCTCGGGCAGCTTCTTCCCCTCCCTTATATTTGCAGTCACTTTCTGAGTAGATCGGGATGTGCTTACGTTTATTGAGTGCTGGGAGCCGGAGGGCGGGGGGGGGAGG